TCCTCCCAGAGATGTCAAGGGTATTGCTAGGTTCATCGGCATGGTAGGTTTTTACCGACGCTTCATCCCCAATGTTGCTGAATTGGCGGCTCCTCTCAATGAGCTTCGGAAGAAGGGCGCCAAGTTTGTCTGGGGTGAAGCGCAGCACACGTCTTTTGCTCTTCTCAAGGAGGCTATCATGCAGCCCCCTGTTTTGGCGATGCCGGATTTCAATCAAAACTTTGTCTTGCAAACTGATGCTTCCTCCGTCGCAATTGCGGCTGTGTTGTCACAAGAGGTGGATGGTGTTAGGCAGCCAATTGCGTACGCCTCACGCACTTTGAGTCCCTGCGAAAAGAAAAGCTCTTCTGTGTATGAACTCGAGTGTTTGGCTGTCGTGTTTGGAGTCAATAAATTCAGACGCTTTTTGGAGCACAAGGAGTTTTTATTGGAAACCGACAACCAGGCACTCTCGTGGCTTCTTGCACATCCACGCCAGCTTGGGAAAATTGGTCGTTGGGTTGTCCAAATATCGTCCCTTAAGTTCCAAGTGCAACACGTTCGAGGCACACAGAACGTGATTGCGGACACACTATCTAGGATGTACTATTCACCCGACGATCCTCCTTCTGACCAAGAGCAACCCGGGTTGTGCCGTGCTCTTGGAGTTTCCACTCGCCTTTTCTGATTTCATTCCCCATCAGCTGAAGGATCCTGAGCTGGCAAAGATCATTGGTGAGCTTCAAAATGGGGGAGCCCACCCCCCATATTTTCTGTCCCAGGGTGCCCTTTGCTGTCGCGCTCGGCAGCGAGGTAAACCTAAAGTTGTGCTGCCTAGTCTTCTAATCCCTATGGTCTTTGAGTATTTTCATTCTTCTCCTGTGGGTGGGCATCTAGGTATCCACAAGACCATTGCGAAGGTTAGGGAAATGTTCATCTGGAAGGGTATGGATCGGGATCTTGCTGCTAGGGTGCGTTCTTGTCAAACGTGCTCACTGAGCAAGCCCGCTCAAAACTCTAAGTTTGGTTTGTTGTCATCTGAGGTGGCGGAAAGACCTTTGGAGAAGGTTTTCATTGACTATGTAGGGCCTCTCCCGCGTAGCAAGTCAGGAAATAAGTTCCTACTTGTTTGTGTGGATGCCTTCTCCAAGTTTTGTTGGCTTTTTCCCTTAAGGAATGCCACTGCACAGCTCACCGTGCAGGTACTTCGAACTCACCTCTTCCAACATTTTGGAATACCCGCCACCATCGTTTCCGACAACGGAACACAGTTTGTTTCCCATCTGTTCAAAAGAATGTGCTTTGGGCACGGAATCCGCCATGTGACTACTTCCCCTTACTATCCACAGCCTTCTCATGCTGAAAGGTTCAATCGCAATCTTCGTTCCGCTCTCATAGCTTTCCATGCTGACAAGCAGACCACCTGGGATCAGGAACTCCCTTGGCTTCAGTTTGCTTTCAATACTGCTCACCATGAGAGTCACAAGGCGGTCCCTTTCGAGCTGTTTCTAGGCTATCCGCCTAACAACCCGTTAGCGAATGTGTGGGGAATTGGCGACCTTCTGCCACCTCCTGGTGCGGCTGATGTCAAGGCAACTTGGCAAGCGGCCAGGAGAAACTTGATCAGAGCTAGGGAATTGGTCCGGAGGAAGCACAATCGTGGTAGAGTAGACAACCCTTTCCAGGTGGGGGATTTGGTGTTTTGTAAAGCTCATCCAGCCAGTTCGGCTGTGGACAAGAGAGCTGCAAAGTTGTGTCATCGGTGGTCAGGTCCCCACCGCATCCTGAGGTTTTTGACTTCTGTCACGGCGGAGCTTGGAGATCCGCGGACTGGAAAAGTGTTCCGGAGGGCGCACATTTCTCATCTCAAGCCCTTCCGCGGAACTCTTCCGTAGGCAATTTTCTTTCCTCTTGTGTCTGGGTGGGAAGTGCACTGGGCCAGAGAACCTGATCATTTCTCCTGTCCCCTGTGTTCTGCGAAGGAATTTCCCTCATAAAATTTTCCAGCTCTGGCCAGAGCAAACCCTGGGGGTGAGTTTTCCCCTCAGTTTGGAAGTCCCTTGGCGTTCCCCACCACAGACACTTGAGTTGTCTTTCAGGTCAATCTCTTTTCAGGTAGTGGGGGAGAGGCTTGTTTGTTTGTCCCTTTTGGAGAGGAGTGTCCTCTTTTGGGGGGGGAGGTTGAGCCGTGACTATTTCCACCGGGCGAATGTCACGACTCATGATCAATGGTTAATTACAGCTCGTTTCTCTCAAATGGCGTGTTGTTCTCGAACCTCCATCCATGGTTCTCATTTTGTTAAGTAAAGTTTTGTGAGCCGCTCCTCGGGCCTGCGCATGGATCACGCTTCCATTTTGTTAGTCTGGGGGCAGGCTCGAGGGCATGGTTCAATCGGACCACAATAATAAGGATTGTTAAGGTAAGACTTTACTATTTATTTAAAGTAATTGGTTTAAAAATAATTATTTGGTGAACTATTATTTCTTGAGATTTTTAAAGTTACTTTCTACCTAAAATAGTTTCATCCATAAAAAGTGATTTGCTGTAATACATAAAAACTTAGTGTATTTAAAAGTGTTGTAAATTTAAAAATTAATGTAACATTATAGCTTATAGGCCAACTATAATAAGTAATATAAATATTGTTTTGTCTTTTATAAAAACATTAACAAAAATGATTTCTTCACCCTGTTTCTATACTTTCTATATTTACTGCAATAAACATTATTTTAAATTACATATATTTTATATTTTGAAATGGTGGTGCGATTTATAGGTAAATCATATTTAAAAAAAGTTAATTATTTTTTAAAGCATAAAAATGCAATTATACTCTTGCTCATTTTTATTTCAATGCAATACTGCAGCATTTCCAAGAAATTACACATGGGAAATAACATCATTGACAGATAAGCAGCATAATTTTATTTAAAAAAACAAGTACACGTTTTAACTATCTTGTAATATACTAATTAACATTTATTGCAGACAGGAGCATGCCCTAGGTTTTGGTCCAATCTAGGGTTTGGTGTAGTCCATTTTGAGATATTACACATTTTATTCTTGCCCATAGGAATACTATAATGTGATTAATCTCTACATATGTTCTTAACTAAGCTAGTAAGAACAATACCAATAGCAGAAAGGGACAAATCAAACATTATTTTTACCTTACAAAATTTCCATAGGGTTGAAGCTATTACCGTAGGTGGAACAACCTAGACCCTGAATGAATTCCTTTTTCTAATTAGATGTCCTAGAGACAAAAAACTCGATTTCGTTTGAATTTTATTTGTGTGTCCGTAAACTAAATATCTTGACTAATTATGGTCCGATTTTATGACATTTAGCATTAAGGTGTAGCACTAAATAAACTTGATCGAGTTCACGAACCGGGAAAATCGGGTATAACAGGAACAAAGTGTTAAACTTTTGACAATTATCTTTATGTCCCTTATAAAAACTGAGCATTTCCATGCTTTAAGGGTAAGACAAGGAAATGTTCGGTTTTTATTACAGCCATCAGACAGAGTTGAAAAAACATGTTGTATGTTGAGGAGGGTTTAAAAACCAAACATTTGAATTCCCTGTTATTCCTACAGAGAAGATTATTAGATATTCCGGCTGGAGAATTCTAGATTCATATCTCAAATACACATGTCAAATTCAGTGGTGGACAGTTTGTCTATACAATGACATCGACAGCCCAGTACAATAACTTAAGATAGTTTACACTGTCTACGGATCTAAACGTTATCAATGTGTTAAGTATTTTATCACAAGCTGATTGTTATTTTAATTGCTACGCCAATTGCTTACAATTGCATGCAGGGTTTGTAACAGTCATTACACCAACAACTATAAATTATAAACTGTATTGTCTTAGATAACCATAACATAAAACAATGATTTATGTTCACATAAAATCTGAATAAAATGCCGATTTGGTAGTGGTTATAAATAGTAATATACAGTGAGTTAGTGAGGTTTTAAAATCTTTTTATAGGTAACAATAATCATATTATAATAAGTGGTAATCGTATAATAATAATAATTATGATACAATCATATAATAATCATATAATTATATAATGATAAAGTTAAAAATAATGTATATAATTCTTTGATGTGTTTTGAAAACTTGATTTATTTATTAATTTATATTTTTAACAATCTGAACAATTTATGGATAAGAATTTTAACTTGTTAATTAAATGAACAGTCATATACACAGAACATTGCGCATTTCCTCTTATGTTTGGCTAATAATTATTTAAGAAAAATAGTATATTTAATGGTAATTGTTGCAACAATTTTTTAAATAAAATATTGACGAAAGGTCGTCGTCTGCGAGTGAGGAACCAATGATGCTTGCGACATTTCCTTTTTGTATGACCATGGCAATTCGTTGAACTAGGTAGTTCCTCGCTATTTAAGTAGACGAAACAACTGCATGGAAAAGCTTTTTGCATGGAAAAGCTTGCATGGAAAAGATCTACACGTAGTTGCTTTAGGCCACTGATGTTGTGCTATGATGTCATCTGTCTAGCGAGCAATATTTCTACCAAACTGAACTGAACCGAATAATTATTTAAAAATGTCACACCTTTCATTGGAACCATCAAAACGTCACAGATTTAGGAAGAAAATATTATTTAGAAATCAGAATAATATCAGACACTTGTTACACTACGTTCTTTAAAAACAGTAGATGCTTAAGCTGTTTAAATAATTCAAAATAAATCTCGGTTGCTATTCAGTATAAGCTGGCTTACGGAATAATTCAGGCCAAAGATTTATTAAAACTAAACAAGTGTCTACTGACAGCATGAAAATTAAATGGTTGTACAGTATGTGTTGCGATGTAACATGAATTAATAATCCTAATAATAGTTTTAAATCATATCTTATGAACATTTACTACCTAGAACGGTGCCCGCCGTTTAAATTAGAGTTACTTATAACATGCATTTCTTTATATATTGATTACAATATTTAGATGAAATTTTCAGTTCAGGATTTTTTAGGCCGTATTCTTCGTAGGGTAACTTCCTATTAAGCACAGTATAATACCAAAAGATTATTTACAGTCCATGTATTAGGACATTTATGTTTGTATTATGAGACGAGGGTGTTAATAAAGAATGTTGTAGGAGTTTGGTTGGTTCTAGAAATGAAAGTTGTAGCTGTAATAACTCTGCTAGTGGTCATTGCATCAGTATCATACCAACAGACGGCGAAGCCTTCAAAAGAGGTGAGACCTATAAAATCCAAACCACTGCAGATGCTGCACTATAAAATACAAGCAGAGGCTTGTATTTTATAAAACTTATTTTTAAACGTACAGTAGTGGTATTTGTATACCAATAGATTAGTAAATACCTTCTGTTTTAGATTAACTATGTCTTTTAACAATTGATTTAACTACGACCTTCTCTAAGACAAGGCCTTGTTGAGACGAACGTGGCATCCCCGTAGAATCGGCTTTTGCAATAATTCGCCATGGAGTGTATGAGCAACGTTTATGTTTACACTTTTTTTATTACGATGGAAACAGAGTGGCCGATGTGAAGTTGCCATGCACCAACGCCGCGGGCTTATATTAATGGGAGGCTATGAATAATCTTTTTGCGAAACTTAAATATAAATCATAATTTAGAAAACGCTTAGTCAACTGTGATGATATAAAATCAAATTCTTTGTACACATTGTATTTTACAACGTTATAGTCATCATATATCTGTTATACAAAAATGAAGATGAAATGAAATTTTTAAAGTTGATGACGAAAAATAACAACAAATTATATTTTATTGCAACAGTATACTAAAGTCAGATGCTTTTAGATGGCCTTCACATAACAACTAAATAAAGAGTTAATTTCCAAGACAAATTATTATATGTATCTATTTGTTTATTCTATTGTTGATCTTCAACACTTTCTATTTTTTTCAGGCTTCTAGAGAATTGCTTAAAACAGTGTTAAAAGAAAAATCTATGAAGTTGCTGGAAGATTTCCACAAGGACTACAAGCATATTGGAGCTGAAGAATTTGAACTAATTGGTGATGAAATAGCAGAAACTTTTGAGTTCAAAGAAGCACTGAGCACCATAGTAAAAAAAGATGAGGTTGAAAGTGAAAAAACTCCAAGGTGTTTAGGCCTACCTTTTTTCTTTTTGACAAAATAACCTTGCAACATATTGCATTCCATCACATAGAAACTGTATGTGAGCTTTTGTCGCAATAAAGCCATAATGATTTCTTCACCAGATTATAATATACATTAACTTTTTATTTTGTTAAAATCTTGCTTATGCAAACATTCTTTCCAAGCAAAGCCAACGTTTCGTTCACGATTTTTTTATTAATTATTACATTACCTTTTCAAAATTAATCGTCTAATATCAAGATTAATCAGAATCCTGTTTGTTTTAGAGATGCACTTTGATCCGACCTGATAGACGCAGTTTGTGTGACTTTTTTTATTGGCCCGTGATTGCCAATTTTGTTTTAAGCATACTTTTTTCCATTAAACAATAAAACATTTACAAAAAACAATTTGCGTAAAAATGATGGTAACATTTTTAATTTACCTCAATTGGAATGTATAGTTATTTTATTTGCAATAATCCATTGCTTACATCTAGCATGAATGGGTACAGAATTAAATTCTGATCATATTCAACTATAATAAACTATTACGTATGAAACACTTTATAGTTTGGTTGTCTAATTTTTTTCAATGTACTTTATTCATCTTCTTTAACATTTTACAGTATTTTATTACAATGAGAATTGGTTTTTCTATTGTAAGTCTGCGTGAGTTTGCCAAAACTCGAGCCATTGTAACTGTTTTTCGCAAATTACTCTCCCAACGTATACGTCTAAAGCCTCGTTCACACGGTGCGAGTTTACAAGCTACTCGCCAGCGTGTAAGAATCCGGCGAGTTGGCGAGTGTGTGTGTATTTGTTCACACGGAGCTTGTCCACTCGCCAACTCGCAGACGTGTAGAAAGACGCCGGTGAGTCGGCGAGTGCGCTTGTAGTCGTTCACACGATGCTTTTTCCACTCGCTTGAACCAAATCCTCCGACATCTTTGAATAACATGCGCACAAGCACAAGCAACTGTGTTCACACTGGGCTACTTTACACGCCTACTCGCTCAAAAGCTGGCGAGTTGGCGTGTAAAGTAGCGGCAGCGTCAACTTTTTCCAGAGCTTTTTTACAAGCAGTTTTTGAGCGAGTACGTCGTTCACACTGAGCTATTTTACTAGCTGCGTGTAAAAAAGCCGGCGAGTAGCTTGTAAACTCGCCCCGTGTGAACGGGGCTTAAGACAAGGAAATATCTTAAACTGTTTCCTGGACGTTTTGTTTAGCAATCACAGTAGACTACTTTCAAGAATCTCTGACATACAAATCACATGTTATTACACTATTTTAGTTATACAGTGTGTCCCGTAAGTAAACAGCCAAACTCCAGGAAATAGTTCTATGGGTAAAAATATAGAGAAAATCAAGTATAATACTTTTTTCCAAAATCGCTTCGTTGACCACCTTTTTTTCCCATTATCATTTATAGGTATCTTTGAATTTTTCAACCGATCGTTATGGAACTTGGTATATATAATGAAGTAAAAGAAACTCACTTCAGAAACAAAATTTATCTTAACACAATAAAACATTTCAAAATGGCGGACACTTAAATTGTTATGAATTGAAATTGCTAAAAATAGCTTATTTTATGAAAAGATTTCAAGAAAGTTTTTATTTATCATTTAAAATTTCCTATCAAACAACACCAAGTTCAAAAAGATCAAATAAGAAATAACTGAAATGTCACGATTTTAGTTGTAAAATAAGGCAACCCCTACTAGCTTAGCCTTGTTCAACATCATTTTAACAATTTGTTACAATTTAAAGACTTTACATGAGTGTTCACTTTAAATTATTTTGATGTAGTTAGTATATTATTCTCATTGAATATTCTGAGACGGTTTTTGTCAAGAGGCATGTTAACAGCATCGAAAATCGTTGTTTTGTCATCGACTGCCATGTTAACGACTCTACCGATGCTCCTGGCACAAAAGCGCTTTGCAACATGTATCTTCAAATCGTGCAATATATCATTACATTTATGACACCTATCAGTAAAGTCAAAAGAACTTTAAAATATGAAAATCTATATAGTAAAATGTAGTAAAAAAGGAAGATTTTAAGGTCATTTTTTATACGTCTTGTATATTATATTTAAATAAACACAACTACTCAGGAGATTATAAAAACTAACTAAATTATTAAATAATTTGACCATATATTTAAATTTTCCGTATAAAATGATGAAGTCTATATACCTAATAGTTAAAAACTTAATTTGTTTGAATATTGCATTACACTAAATTGTTTGTTTGTGACAGTTACATAACGATAAGATTTCCTATGTCTTTTTAAATATGTAACCTAAATTTGCGTAAATCATGATAGTCTGAGGATATTTGTATAAAGGGTTTCCTTGCACAAAATATTAAAACAAAGGACAAAATTTTAAAATTCATAATTTATTATAACTTTAAACTTGATGTGCTTTAAATTCAGACCGTGAAATTATATGTTCAAATACATAACGTATTTCTTATTGTCAGAATATCATTACTGGTATTTAAGTCAGAAACTTTATAAAGACCAGCTGCTGGCCAACAGCTCGGAATTCACCCACAAATCACAGACTGAGTTAATCACAATCTGCATTCGACATGCGAATCTTCCGGAAGACAAATTAAACTCATGAAATCACTGAGTCCTAAAACCGTTGCCTCCCTTCTTGCTTTCCTAGCCACATTTGGTTTTACTGATTAACTTTTATATATCTCTAAATTGTTAAGCATTTTTGAAAAGCCAAAAAACATATAACCGATTTTTATTCTATGAATGACCATAATGAACACGGAAGTTTTATTTAAGTCAATTCGTGAAATAGAACTAGAATATACTTCTAACTCGATTTATATCAGACTTTTTTAAAGGAATATTTGCTACCACTATGGAACAAAGAGTCATAGCGGTTTTAATATTTAGCTTATATGAAATCCATTAATAGTACGTAGTGTTCACAATAACTTAGTGCTTCTATCTATGATGCATTTCAGCTTAGTCTTCTAGAATTTTATTGGGATCCATAAGGTAATCGTGGTATTAATTTTTAATACTAAACCAACTAAATAGCATGGCTACTTGTGAACATCAAATCTAAAGTTATAATACATTTAAAAATTTAAAATATTGGTAGTTTGTTTTAATATTTTGTACAAAGAAACCCTTTATACAAATTTCCTCAGACTATCTTGACTTGCGCAAATTTAGGTTACATATTTATAAGAACAAAAGAAATCCGTTATCGTTATGTAACTGTGAGAAGATGATAGGTCATTAACCAAAACACCTAGTGCATTTTGTCTCATTAACAGGAAAGGATTAAACATATGAAGTACCTGTAGCTCTAAACTCAAATAAGAATCCTTATATATAATACGTGAAGGCGATTTATACAAAACACTACTCCTCCGTTAATAAAGGACGGATTTTTACAAACGACGTGTCAAAATAAAGTATTTTTTGTGTAGACGCCCCCTTTCACCAATTCCTGTAATAAAAATCCTCGAGCTTTGCCCCACAGGCCATCAAAGTTGGAGTTTCTCCCATAAGATTAACATGGGGAAATCTAAATATTTAATTGGAAACATTGTCCCCACTAATTTAAGAGAACGGCTGGGAGTAGAAACTTGGTAGAGGTGTCCAAAGAAAGGTCTTGGTCTGTAGATGAGTTATCAAAAGAATAACTAAGCAAAATCCCTTAGGGCTCTGCCCCAGAAGCCTTTAAAGATCCCTCCACAGATTTGTTTACATTTTGGCCATGTGGATAGTACTTTTTTAATGAAACAGCTGTTAATTCTTAGATTGTATTTTAAACAACACAAGTTTATTGGGAGTTATTGAATTGTCCAAAAGAAGTTTTTGCAATGTTATTTACTGATTTTAAAATAGATTTTCTTCTTTATCATGTCATGTTTTGCAATATAACGTTCCATTATGAAATCGGTGGAAAATCCTTTTATCACAGCAACTCTTAAATTATTTCTTATTGAACTATATCTTATATCCATTGTACGGGTCGGTGTCTGCCTTTTTCACCATTTTGCTTACATTTTATCATATTATTCTACACTTATCAAATATTTATGTAGAAATATCTGCTCTTATCGTGTCTAATAAAATCCAAACATAGAAAACTTGCCTAAAATGGTACCCACCTTGAAAAATTATTTGCATCTGCCTATATTAGGGACTTTTGCGCACTGGGTTGGTAACATTATTGAAAATAACACATTTTGGCTGTAAAATATGGTACGAAGAGAAAATACTATTTAAGCAGCTACTGTCATGACAGAAAGGTCATATTCCTTTTAAACTAGATCACATAATCCTTTATAAGATACGTTGATTAACGATATGTAACCGTCAATATATACGTTACAGCCAATTTACAGTATTTTTGCTTTTTGGAAATGTCCCATTGCTATGTCATTTGAATTATTTGTCGCCAATGAAGCCGCCAAGACCATATGAACTAGGAGGCCCCTAACAGCTCAAGAATAAAAGTCATCTTCACTTCAAATATTCCACTACACGTAACATTCCGTAGAGAGATTATATTGACAACTTTATGTTATCGATAAGGCTGAGACATCTAACTGACATCCCCCATGTCAAGGAATTCGAGCTTTAACAGTAACCCCACAATCAATTTCTCAAAACTATGCTTGAGGGTTCATTCATGGCAAAGAAGTACGATATGAACTGACGCGATGTGACGAAGGAAAAATTAAACTTACACTGTAACGGATATACCTCCCTTTGAAGTTAGAATATGTCTTCCCAACAAACAGATTTTCTTTTCAAATAAAATCATATTAGACTAAAGAAATCACAGAAGTGTTTAACTACTAAAGATTCACCAATACGATTTTAATACTATTTAAAGGTTCTTCCAAAGGAAGATATACCATATAACATACTAATAATAACTCCGATGACGTTCACTATAGGAAATATTTCATCAACCAAATTTGGCAACTTACGCAATTAATATCATTATTGTTTTTACAATTATTTCTCTTTAAACAATGCTAAATGCTCAAAATATGTATATTTCACCCAATTTATCGCAATTAGATGAATTAACGTAAGCCTTGATAGTACAGTAAAAATAAGTTTTGACCCAAATAAAATTAGCACAACCGGGGAATTTGGTACAGATGTTGGGTGTACCTTCTTTTTGAACATACTAAAAGTCCCCTAAAATTGAAGCTGTGCTATGGCCGCCATATTGGAAAATGGCGGTATATTTCGGTATTTTTCGCTATGGTGACTTTATTTTTAGAGATACAAGAAAACGCTAAATGTACAAAATGTAGGTCATTTAAAAATACACATTTTTTGTGTTTACCCTTTTTCTCTAAACCCAACGGTTTTTGAGTTATTTGTTATTAAGTATATTTAGTTTTTTCTATTTATCAAAAATAGGTGAAACACATGGAAATTGACCGTTACTTTCAAGGATTATGATAATTTATCATATTTAGTTAAATAGTGCGATACTATAAAATCTAAAAATTTAAGCTTATTTTATGAGTAAAACAACTCCACCACAGCAAACC